TATGTTTTGCTTTATGGCTTCTAATATGCGATATTATTTTTTTAATTTGGTCTGTTCTTGCAAGACATTAATTTTAATGAGAGCTGTGCCACAACCTCAAAGATAAAACGTAATTTAGACACATCACAAAACTATCTTTTTTTTTCAGTCTTCCTGGCACATGGAAACCGTCGCCAAATGAATGACCGTGTTCCTCCATTTCTTATTCAATGCTATTAAGAGTAAAACGAGAATTATACACGTCGGTCTTTTTTGGACCAAAACAACATTGAATAGGGGTGGGGAGGAGGCCTTTTCCTTTTCGTTCCGTTCTGTTTAAAGGGGATAGTAGTAATGCACAAATGTTAGGAAATTGGTGGAACTGTCTCAACATCCAGTTTTGTCCGAGGTTGTAGCTCCCGTGAGCGGCCATCAATACTAAGTCGTTCTTGGATCAGGTCCATTTATAAGTCATTTTCTGAATCCTGGGAGGTTCAGCTAGCAGGAATTTTGAATGTTGTTTGAAACAACGAACCTACAATAATGCACCAAGAGAGGATAAAGGGGACAGAGAAGGCATCCTCCGTACACACCCTATTCCATAGGTAATTTGTCTCGAATTATTTTTAAGACCGCAGATCCCAAGGGGGATTGGACAACAGCCAATCACATAGCGCGAATGTGTTCCGCGTGGATGACCCACGCTCAGAGCCACGCGTCCTTCACGAATTGAGGCAGAAAAAAATGGCGGAGGACGCGGAGAGCAATATTGCTATTCGTTTTGTCGACGAAAACGAGAGATTTCTGCTAAAGCTGTGTCAGCGAAACGAAAATTAAAAAAGAATCGCCCTTCCCCTCTTGCATAGAGCTAACAGTACAGCTGGGAAATCCTTAACACACTGAATATTCTCTCAGGATCATTTATAATTTACAGTTTGAAGAGAGCAATTTCTGGTTTGATATTTATTCTTTCATTAGTCTTTTTTTATTCAACAAAAATAACACTTGGCGTCCTATAATAATAATGACAATTTAATAACTTCTAGAGCGCTATTTACATTCACTGATCAACAGCGCTTAACGACTTAAAAAAACTACAATAAAATTCAAATTTGTAAAATTAATTACATGTACATGAATATTACTTGCTACTTGCTTTATTGTACAAACGACCGGTTTCAATAGACCGGCGAAATTTCTCATTTTGTTGAAGCACTGAGGTTAAGATAACTTCGAGTTAAACTGATTTCGCGGATTGTCAAAGAGTCGAGCGATTCCCTTTTCCCAGGTGAGCGGCGACTCATTTCGCTTCAATATTCAGAAATGCTCTCGATCACTTTACGCTTTCATTGCCCTTCGCCCGACATGTTTTTCACGGCGTTTAGTCATGCGAAACCTCCATGAAACATCCACGCAGCGCGCGAGGTAACTTTATCCCGATTCTAAAAATAACTCGAGACGAATTACCTGTGGAATAGGGTGTATATGGGGGATGCCTTCTCTGTCCCCTTTATCCTCTCTTGTAATGCACGTATCAGCGACTATCACTGGGTGTCGACCTTGGGGGCATACGCGGGCATGGAGCGGGATTTGTTGACATTTGCTGCCAATTTTTACCCCTGGATGGCGGGGAGTGGATCGCTTAAGCACTTTTGTAGCATATTCTCCTGGGAAAGACCAGCGGCATTTGTAATGCACCAAGCGTCGAAGACCAAAGCGTTCCAAGATGGCGGGAATCCTTGCAGAAGGCGGGTCTAGAGTGAAATCCAGGAAGGTGCGAAATTGCTTAAGCGGATAAAAACATGCCACTTGCCTCTTTTTAGTTTGTTTTTACATATAGTACACGGCCTTTGCTTTTGCTTCACTTTTTACACACATTACATAAACATAGATACTTAAAATACAGAAGAAATACACAAAAGAAACAAAATTAATTAACATATTGATAGTATAAAGGTTGCTAGACAGGATATTGCGTACTAGAATAAATTTTTTCTTTTGTCTTTTGAAATCTGTTTATATTTACTTTTTTAAAAAGCAGGGAAAAAAAGGAGAGTTCACTCAAATAAACGCCTTTTCTGAATAATTTTTCTCCACTTCTCTTCAAAAATTTTCTCTGTTCCTTTAATCATTGAAATTTGTTATTCAATTCAAGCATGAAGTTGTCTTTAACTAGTAAATATATAATTCTACAATAAATGGTTTTCAACTTTTGTTTTTGCAACTAAAAATATAAAACCTAGCCAAGAGTAGACAATGACTAAATAAAACATCTCGTTCTTTCCCTGTAGGACCTAAACATTTAATTTTTCTAAAACGCCAGAGGCTTCTATCAGATCAACTGAAACCAAGAAATCTTTGACATTATTCCCAAAAGCTCTTGACACGGGACAATCCCGAAAAAAATAAATAAGCGTTTCTTTGCACGGGTTTCTTGACTAAAGCAACAGAGATCGATATCTGCAGCTTGAATCTTAAATAAAAATACATTGGTCACAATTCTTCTCTGAAGGAATTTAAACTGAAAGTTTCGGTGAGTTTCGTGCCTAAAGTACATTTCCTAGGTAATAAATAATTAAATGGACGCCCAGTCGCAATTTTCAAGATCTATTAGTTCACAATCTCTTTTCCATTTTGCTTGGCTTTTCATAGGAAGAGTACGTTTCGTTTCTTATTAATAAAAGCCTTACAAGCTAGTTGGTTTGGTTTATTGTTAAGAGACTAGCTTTGCTAGCAACGTTTCACTTTTTACTTACTGTTTATCAAAAATTTACAATTTGGAAGTCCCTTGAAATACTGATTTTGTGACTTGAGGTAGCCTGCAAGGCAGGCGCTTGGAAGAAGTTCCTAGCGCCTGCTACGCAGGCTAGACTTGAGGCTTCATCTGAACAAACCGTTGCCGCGGGGGGGGGGGGGCTATATGGTGGCTTCTTGTGGAGAAATATTGTTCTTAGGTGAGGGAGATTTGTAGACGTCGGTGACGTCGCTACGCCCCCCACCACCTTCGGGCTCAACCCCCGGGATAGCCGCTGCTAATTGCGCAACTCGCTTTAGACTAGAATAGAATAGAATAATTCTTCATTTAAACACGGTAAAATTCATCAGGAGTATAAAAAATGTTAACTAAACCTAACTAACCAAAACAATATGCAAAATTGTATACAGCTAACCTTACTAAGACCTGTTTTTCATGAATGCTCTGTACAGTACTTTAAAAATCAGAAATTCAGATGAGCCAATCGTTTAAATTGACTTAAAGCTTTAGCCTCGCTTATATCACAGGGCAGGCTGTTACAGAGAACTACTCCGCTGTAACTGAAGCTGTTCTTCATGAAGTTAGTTCGCGGGAACGGTTCGACAATTGGTTTGTTAACAGAGTCCCTTAGGGAGTAGCGCGTTTCATATCGTTTAACAAATTTAGAGGGTAAATATCCTGGAACAAAAGACTTGTAAACCATTAAGGCTTTTTGTATTTGAAACTGAGTGTTCAAGTCTTTCCAATTAAGTTGTCTAAATAAGCGGTTGGCATCAGCATCATATCTAGAAAAGGTAAGAACACGAGCAGCACGGTTCTCAGGCTTCACGTAGGCTTCTGTAGTCCGCCAAACAAAGTTTTTCCACAATTACCCCAGACAATAATTTAATAATCGAATTGAGATTGAATGAGAGCGTTGTATATACAATGAAGAGTAGGCGACGGAACAAAATCTCTAATTGTTTTAATTGCTCCTATCCCGGAAGCGATCTTTTTAGATGATTTATCGATGTGCGTTTAATTTGCCACCGTAGATTTTCATCAATAAATATTCCAAGCGATTTTACAGAGGTAACTTTTTCTATTGGAACATTATCAATCGAGAGCTCGGGTTGGCTCGACAAAGTACTCAATTTTTGTCTTGATTCAATTAGAATAAATTCAGTTTTAGCAGTCTTCAAAGTAAAGTTGGAAATAAGCCACTTGTTTAGATTACCTAAATCATGATTCAAATTTAACTGTATTGAATTCACACCAACATCTGCATAAGTGGTGTATGTGTTATTAGCATACCCAGCATACATCCTAGGTTGGCATGAAGTTAGGCAGTTTGGCAAATCGTTGATGTAAATAAGAAATAAAAGGGGACCAAGAATTGTTCCCTGAGGTATCCCGCATTCAAGTGAACAGATTCTACAAAGGGAACCATTAACGAGACATCGTTGTGTACGATTTGTCAAATACGACCTAAACCAATCGAGAGCAATTCCTTGTATTCCGTAAAGGTTCATTTTAGATCAAAGGATATCATGATCAACAGTGTCAAATGCCTTTTTTAAATCAAGAAAAACCACAGCATTAACATTACCACGATCGATATTAAAGGGCCAGTTATCAGTATCTTCAAGGAGAGCAGTAAAAAGCGAAAGCCCAATTGATGTGTAGAAATGATATCTTCATTGCTCAAAAAATTATACAATTGGTCATAAACAATCCTTTCGAAAACTTTAGCTATAACTGAAATGACTGAAATAGGTCGATAATTATTTAGATCAGATGCCTCACCTTGCTTAAACAACGGAGTAACCCTAGCACATTTCCAATCGTCAGGAAATATACCAGAGTGTAAAGATTTAGAGATCACATAAAGAAACTGAAATCAGATCGGCACATTCACGTATATATTATTATGTAGATCTTTGGATCTACATAATTTATTTAGATGTGAGAAAACAATACCTCTGCTTGTAGAAGAAAAACTGAACTTGTTGTAATTTACATTTATATCATTGATATAAATTAAATCATATATTATTACTATCATTTGGTGGAATTTCATTGGCAAGGCGGGGCCCAATTGTTGAAAAATGGTCAATAAAGCGTTAGAAAGCTCACTAGAATTAGAAATAATGGAACCATTCGACTTAAATTCTCTCACCGTTGTACTGTTGGTGCGGCGGGAAGTAAGTTCGTTAATGGTTTGCCATGTTTTTCGAGAATTACCTTTAGATTGACTAAAAGCATTAGAATAATAAGATGCTTTAGAAGTCTTGATGTTATTGTTTATTGTATTTCGCAACTTTTTGTACTTTGCCCAGTCGCGTGGATCATTCGATGCCATAGCTTTTCTTTTGGCAGCATCACGATCGCGCATGCCTTTCTTTAATTCTGAATTGATCCAGGGTGCTTTTTTTATTCTAAAGTGTCTGGTTCGGAGTGGAGCATGAAAGTTAACAACATGCAAAAATTTCGTTTTCCAGTCAGCCCACAAAACATTAGAATCATCAGGGCCGTTACAAGTCCAGTCCTGCTGAGCGATATCGTTACGAAAATTCTCTCGATTAAAATTTTTAAAATTTCTGTAAGAAATGGTTGAATGCCCTTTTGAGGGAAAAGCTGGAGATAATTTTCTATAAACGTAAATAAGGCTGTGATCGCTGATGCCAATATAAGAGACTCCGGAACAGACTACCCTGTCAGTATAGTTTGTAAAAATTAAATCAATTAAAGTTAGTTGACGAGGATTCTGTTACGCGAGTAGGTTCAGTTAAAGGTTGTTGAAGCTCAAATAAATCAGAATTTCACATAAGTGACGAGTATTTGAATCATATAATTGTAAAAGAGGCCAGGTTACAATTTAAATCAACTGAAAGATAACATTCAAGACCAAGAGAATCTAATTTTTCAAGAAATGGTTCGTATATAATATATTTCAGTCATCTCCGTCTATACCATGTAGCTATCAGAAATGGCTTTGAGTTAGGTTTACGAATTTTAATACATAAATTTTCAAGATTAGGTACATTTAGATTAGAACAAACTAAAAAATTAATCAACGTTTTTACATCAAAGCCTACTCCTCCGCCTTGTCTGTTTCAATCACGACGAATAAATTCATAGCCTGTATATAGACCTCACAGCTTTTGATAGTGTCATCAAGTTTAGTTTCATTAATTGAGATAATATCGATAGAATAATCAAAAAGGAGAATTCTAAATTCATCAATGTGTTTAGTTAGACTGTTGATGTTCAAATGGGCTTTTCTAAAACCTCGTCCAGAAGGAAAATCACAAAAATTATTATGTTGATTGGAAATAGGTGAGCTAAAATACCTTTGAGATGTTAACGAGGGCGTCTCCGGTTGCGAGCTGGAATAGGACAGTTTCCTAGCTCCATTAGAAACTTACCCAGTCGTTGAATAGCTGGGGTCCGAAAACCCTTACCAGACTGATCAGGATTTGACGGCATTAAAAATCGTTCTATAGGACAAAACTCTTCTACCCAACTATTTTAGCCCTACTATTTACAGGTACAGCAAGGGGCGGATCCAGTGGGGTTGGATTGGGTGGCTAGTCACCCCCTTCTGGGACAGCCCACCAAAAAACATTTAATACGTGGAAAGACATACGGAGATACGTGGGTTCCAAAGAAATCGAGAAAACTACCCAGCATAGTCAGCTGCACAGTACTGGAAGGAAACGTTGCCAATACCTTTCCTTGACGTAATCTGCTCAGGAAAAGTGTGCACATTATGAGCTCTGTGCTCTTATTCCTCAAGTAATGAAGACGTCTCAAGAAGCCACAGTAGAACTCAGGCGCGGATCTACACCGGTTTCCAACTTTTCACGAAAATCGGGTCAGATTTTTCATAAATAAATAAATATATTTTAAATGGAAAAAAAATCCACGTTGAACTCTTGCAAATATCCTATCTGAATGACTCAGAAACCCAAGAAAGGGAACTTTAGGGAGTGAAAATCCGAAAAATGTACCGGGGAAGAATGCCCCCAGACCCCCCTATAAGCTTGCGCCGTCGGCGCTTGTTTAGGAAATCAGTTAGTATTCATCCTAGATCCGTGCTTGGAACTTGCTCAAGTACTGCATGAGAAGTGGGGCCATCTGATGCCTTGCCGTCATCTTTCGAAAGTCAGGAACTGTGTGGGCTGGAAGCGACAGGAAGCGGGTCGGATTATGAATCCCTATTGGTCTCCTCACAGATAGACAACACGCAAACAACATCTCCTTCCCAAACGAGAGGGAACTTCTAAAAATTCTCACCGTTTTGTCTATGGAAAGCACGGAGGCGGAGACATCATTTTCCTGTATTCAGAGAATCCATAATTGGCTTCGCAACACAATGACCATCGAACGACTCTCACATTTGGCCGTCATCGCCGTGCATGCAAAAGCAGTTACCGTCGGTAGAAGTGTGGTTTGTGAGAAATTTGTGGCGCTACACCCTAGACGATTGACAGCGTCTTCACTTCTGGCCGACTAGGTTAGTAATGTATTTCTATTAGCTTCTATTTCTTCTCAGTTTTGTGGCGTTTCAGGGGTTTGCAGTGTTACAGTCTCCAATTCGTCCTTCCTAAATCGCCATGTTTTGGAACAGACGTAGGACAACTTAAAAGAAATTAACGTATGATTTGGTAGCTAATTGGTATCAGCCATCCCCCATTAAAAATCCTGGATCCGCCCCTGAGGGCATTTTGTGAATTTTTATTGTCTCTTTTTAGCGTTGAAATAGACCAATCTAAATAATTATCATTATATATAAATTCATTCACTAAAGATAGTGGGGTTGAAACTGGCCGAAGACCGAAAACAGTGCCAGCCGGTATCAACGGCGTTGACCGTTAGCAATTCTCAGTTTCAGTACATCTTGCGAGGTCGCCAAGCTAGAGGAGCCGTGTAATGTAAAATAACAAACCCATATGTCTCGGTTTACTCAGGACCTGCCTCCTTTTCTCACACTTCAATCTGGAGGTGACGTGTATGCTTTGCTGACTCTAAAGCTCCCTCCAAATCACCAAGACAAAGTTGAGTAAAGAAAAGGGACTCATAACTATTAGCGGTGCTTGCGTGTTCTTCTCCAAACACATTAAGGCGGGTTTCAAGTGCGTGCCGCACAGATTCCAGTGCTGCGGTAAAGTCTCCAAGGGAATGTTGAGTGACGCCAAGCTCATAATACCTATTAGCGGAGTTTGCGTGTTCTTCTCCAAACAGTTTAAGACGGATCTCAAGTGCATGCTAGTCAGAATCTAGTGCTGATTTGAAGTCTTCAAGTAAATGGTGAGTGACGCCAAGATTATGATAACTATCAGCGGTGCTTGCGTGTTCTTCTCCGAACAGTTTAAGACGGATCTCAAGTGCGTGCTGTAGAGAATCTAGTGCTGCTTTACAGTCTCCAAGTGAATGGTGAGTGACGCCAAGAGTATGATAACTATTAGCGGTGCTTGCGTGTTCTTCTCCGAACAGTTTAAGACGGATCTCAAGTGCGTGCTTCTTAGAATCTAGTGCTGCTTTAAAGTTTCCAAGTGAATGGTGAGTGACGCCAAGATTATGGTAACTATCAGCGGTGCTTGCGTGTTCTTCTCCGAGCAGTTTAAGACGGATCTCAAGTGCGTGCTGTAGAGAATCTAGTGCTGCTTTACAGTCTCCAAGTGAATGGTGAGTGACGCCAAGATTATCATAACTATCAGCGGTGCTTGCGTGTTCTTCACCGAACAGTTTAAGACGGATCTCAAGTGCGTGCTTCTTAGAATCTAGTGTTGCTTTGAAGTCTCCAAGTGAATGGTAAGTGACGCCAAGATTATGATAACTATTAGCGGTGCTTGCATGTTCTTCTCCGAACAGTTTAAGACGGATCTCAAGTGCGTGCTTCTTAGAATCTAGTGCTGCTTTGAAGTCTCCAAGTGAATGGTGAGTGACGCCAAGAGTATGATAACTATTAGCGGTGCTTGCGTGTTCTTCCCCGAGCAGTTTAAGACGGATCTCAAGTGCGTGCGTCTTAGAATCTAGTGCTGCTTTAAAGTTTCCAAGTGAATGGTGAGTGACGCCAAGATTATGATAACTATCAGCGGTGCTTGCGTGTTCTTCTCCGAGCAGTTTAAGACGGATCTCAAGTGCGTGCTGTAGAGAATCTAGTGCTGCTTTACAGTCTCCAAGTGAATGGTGAGTGACGCCAAGATTATGATAACTATCAGCGGTGCTTGCGTGTTCTTCTCCGAGCAGTTTAAGACGGATCTCAAGTGCGTGCTGTAGAGAATCTAGTGCTGCTTTACAGTCTCCAAGTGAATGGTGAGTGACGCCAAGATTATGATAACTATCAGCGGTGCTTGCGTGTTCTTCTCCGAGCAGTTTAAGACGGATCTCAAGTGCGTGCTGTAGAGAATCTAGTGCTGCTTTACAGTCTCCAAGTGAATGGTGAGTGACGCCAAGATTATGATAACTATCAGCGGTGCTTGCGTGTTCTTCTCCGAGCAGTTTAAGACGGATCTCAAGTGCGTGCTGTAGAGAATCTAGTGCTGCTTTACAGTCTCCAAGTGAATGGTGAGTGACGCCAAGATTATGATAACTATCAGCGGTGCTTGCGTGTTCTTCTCCGAGCAGTTTAAGACGGATCTCAAGTGCGTGCTGTAGAGAATCTAGTGCTGCTTTACAGTCTCCAAGTGAATGGTGAGTGACGCCAAGATTATGATAACTATCAGCGGTGCTTGCGTGTTCTTCTCCGAGCAGTTTAAGACGGATCTCAAGTGCGTGCTGTAGAGAATCTAGTGCTGCTTTACAGTCTCCAAGTGAATGGTGAGTGACGCCAAGATTATCATAACTATCAGCGGTGCTTGCGTGTTCTTCTCCGAGCAGTTTAAGACGGATCTCAAGTGCGTGCTGTAGAGAATCTAGTGCTGCTTTACAGTCTCCAAGTGAATGGTGAGTGACGCAAAGATTATCATAACTATCAGCGGTGCTTGCGTGTTCTTCTCCGAGCAGTTTAAGACGGATCTCAAGTGCGTGCTGTAGAGAATCTAGTGCTGCTTTACAGTCTCCAAGTGAATGGTGAGTGACGCCAAGATTATGATAACTATCAGCGGTGCTTGCGTGTTCTTCTCCGAGCAGTTTAAGACGGATCTCAAGTGCGTGCTGTAGAGATTCTAGTGCTGCTTTACAGTCTCCAAGTGAATGGTGAGTGACGCCAAGATTATGATAACTATCAGCGGTGCTTGCGTGTTCTTCCCCGAACAGTTTAAGACAGATCTCAAGTGCGTGCTGTAGAGAATTTAGTGCTGTTTTGAAGTCTCCAAGTGAATGGTGAGTGACGCCAAGCCCATGATAACTATCAGCGGTGCTTGCGTGTTCTTCTCCGAACAGTTTAAGACGGATCTCAAGTGCGTGCTTTACAGAATCTAGTGCTGCTTTGAAGTCTCCAAGTGAATGGTGAGTGACTCCAAGCTGATGATAACTATCAGCGGTGCTTGCGTGTTCTTCTCCGAACAGTTTAAGACGGATCTCAAGTGCGTGCTTCTTCGAATCTAGTGCCGCTTTGAAGTCTCCAAGTGAATGGTGAGTGACTCCAAGCTGATGATAACTATTAGCGGTGCTTTCGTGTTCTTCTTCGAACATTTTAAGACGGATCTCAAGTGCGTGCTTCTTAGAATCTAGTGCTGCTTTGAAGTCTCCAAGTGAGTGGTGAGTGACGCCAAGCTGATGATAACTATCAGCGGTGCTTGCGTGTTCTTCTCCGAACAGTTTAAGACGGATCTCAAGTGCATGCTTCTTAGAATCTAGTGCTGCTTTGAAGTCTCCAAGTGAATGGTGAGTGACGCCAAGATTAAGATAACTATTAGCGGTGCTTGCGTGTTCTTCTCCGAACAGTTTAAGACGGATCTCAAGTGCGTGCTGTACAGAATATAGTGCTGCTTTGAAGTCTCCAAGTGAATGGTGAGTACCGCCAAGCACTTCAAAAGTAACAGCGGTGCTTGCGTGTTCCTCTCCGAACAGTTTAAGACGGATCTCAAGTGCGTGCTGCACAGAATCTAGTGCAGCTTTGAAGTCTCCAAGTGAATGGTGAGTGACGCCAAGCTGATGATAACTATCAGCGGTGCTTGCGTGTTCTTCTTCGAACAGTTTAAGACGGATCTCAAGTGCGTGCTTCTTAGAATCTAGTGCTGCTTTGAAGTCTCCAAGTGAGTGGTGAGTTACGCCAAGCTGATGATAACTATCAG